CTGTTGAGCTGTTGCAACCAGATTATCAAAAATATCTTGTCACTCAGGTGTCGACTTTGATGCTTGTGTTTTTCACGCAATATTGATTCGTTTATCGACTGCATTTGTGAGCTTGAGTTGATTGTCTGAAATTTGCGTGTCCACAGTCGAGTATCTTTGACCTTTTGCTATCTATATTCTGGAGTGAGGTGTCAAGTTTAGCTTTACTGATAAGATGGGCCAGCTTATCGACTCTGATTTCGTTTATTCGATAAACTTGCCTAGTGCTTCAGTGTCAGTGTGCGTGTGGCTGCAAACGCCAATAGCATCAGAACACTTGTTGCCACAGGTGTGTGGAGCTTGGTAATGATGTAAACTTGATTATATAATGTCACATTGCTTGTGAAATTTGGTGGAGGCTTCTATTCGCAATTATTCGAAGTTAGTTACTGAATAATCGTTATTGCAAGCAATCCTCGTCATTATGCATAATTTTACGTTATAATCGTACCGCGTGTAGGTTTAGTTTTACCTATGCAAATCTAAAAGGGTTGAAATTTGAATGCCCAGTCTCCTCGATATGTCCTAATGATAGAGATTGTCAATTTGTCAGCAGATCAGAGTTGGAACGTAGTGTTGGAGTGCCAGTGGGGGTCGCTATGTGCTAGTTAGAGACGGTGGCCTGAGAAAGCAAAATCTCCGCAACTGCTCGGTCCATGCCAAGTCAAGGGCGACAACATGAAGTCGGTCGGGTGTGTTAAAACCCCTGCGAGCTGTACTTACTTTGCTTCCGTCAATTGTATTTATAAGAAATTTTTCATTGAAGTGGGAAGGCAATGACGCTAAAGCTTACTTCGTGCGTGTAAGTAAGACCTCTGAATTTCTCGACTGGGTTATCAGTTGAAATTTTCCATTAATTGACTTTTTGTACTTTCGGGGTTAAGAGTATAATGAATTTGACAAAAGTTATCCCTAATCGAGCTCATCATTGCTAAAGTTGGAAATTATTTCGTCTTGAGAACTGGAAAGGTTCAGAGTGACAACTGGTGTTCTTTTTTTATTTTTACTATTATTTTTTGCTTCTATGATTTGGATCCGGTCAGCTGCTGCCTTTCGTATTGCCTTTAGTGTGGTGGTTTAGTGCGTGGGTGCCCAGCTTATCACCTATCACCTTCACGATAGGAACCAGCAGATAAACTAGTTTGCTTTAAGGTGTATAAAACAAAGCTTTCAACATTCACTTATGGGCACGGTTCTTCGTTGTAAATAATTTTTTTTACCATATCCACATTCTCGTTTGTAATAGTTTTTGTTTGCAACCTCTGATTCGTTCGCAAGAAGGCCGTGTGAGATAGCGCAACGCTGCATTACGTCACGTTCCGTCATGCTGGTTGGTGGTTGCCGCAGCTCGCGCTGGCCTACATTAGCAAAGCCGTCACGTGCGCTGGAGTTGCTTGCATAACGCCGTCATTCGTCACTGATGTTGCCGCTGCTGCTTGGTTGCTCTCAATCATAAGGTTAATTAGAACTTGAAGTCAACTTCGTTGCCTTGCAAGCACGCACGAAGACTAGAACTTTCAGTGTACTCTATTATTTTGCTCTAGAATTTTTTTCTCTTAGTAGGGCTTAAGAGAAGTAATAATTAGTAATTTTTCCTATTTACAAATTATTTTTGGACAAACAAACGTGAGGAAGAACTCCGTGCTGAACGTTAGGCCTACAGAGCTTGGCGATGTTGCCACATCTTGCGCTCCTTGAGCCGTGCTCGCTCACAATACACACTGCTCCACTAACTGCCATCCTTCGCTTATTCTATTTCCAGTTTAGCTCAGTGTGGTGTATACTACTAAATTTGCGAGTGCTCGATTTTGTTCCTTGAATCGATACTTTAGTGCATTCATATTCAGTGCTTATGGTTATGTGGACGTAATTTCAGGCCTACAGAGCTTGGCGATGTTGCCACATCTTGCGCTCCTTGAGCCGTGCTCGCTCACAATACACACTGCTTCACTAACTGCCATCCTTCGCTTATTCTATTTCCAGTTTAGCTCAGTGTGGTGTATACTACTAAATTTGCGAGTGCTCGATTTTGTCCCTTGAATCGATACTTCAGTGCATTCATATTCAGTGCTTATGGTTATGTGGACGTAATTTCAGTTTGTTGTTCCACTTCCGAATTTGCCTCTTAGAGACAAAGCAATAGCTTTGAAGTATCGTTATTTTAGGCCTAACGAACGCCTGCTCTAAAGTCTCAACTACTCGTGTTCTCTCCTCACGAACACTCGTCCGTTGTGACAAGCCCAAGTCACTGAATTTTCCTGGTGAGAGTTGTCTGAAATTTAATGAAAATTCAGTGCTAGCATTGCAGGATCCTAGTTTATATAGTTGATTTTGCCTTCGATATCCAATTCACTTATCTGAAATCTCTAGTCTGAAGCCAACTAGGCGTGCTTTTGTCGAAGTGGTTCATTTGGTTCTAAGGACGTCTTTTTCGATCATGGCTGCCGGGTCGTGGCTTTGGCAAAAGCAGCAAAGCGTTACCCGTCGGAGATGGAGGGGCTGGGGGCGCCAAATATTGATCCAATTGGCTGGGAGTTTCATGCGATGTCAGCTGCCGCTGCTCAATCCCCTGTACTTCTGGCCGGCCATCTGCCCTCCTTCACGTACACAAAAGCGCTGTACTCCTCTTGCCTTCCTGCAGCCGTTTGCCTTTCAGAGGATCATCCTTCCTCTTATTCCTGCTGGCCGCATTTTTCAGAGGTTCTCTGTCCTCTAACGAATGCAAACTAGCGTTTTTAAATTCATCCGTGTACTGCTGACCACAAATGCTATGCAAAGGTACTTGGTCTCTCCTAACGTACCAGCTACTATTCCCTTCAAAGTACTTTTTATGCTTCAACCGCCTGCTGAGTTCAATATCCTGCATCACGAGAGGTTTTACTTGATTTTTACTGCGATGAATCAATGTTATAGCGTCGATGACTTGTCTGTACCGCTTATAAATAGTCATAGACAATTATCTCGTAGCCCGTTCAGTTCCTCTTCTATTCAACCCTAGGCAACCATCAGAAAACGCCGACGAAAACCCATATAAACTTCTTCTGAGGTTCTTCGGCGAGCGGTGAATTAGCTCTCGACGTAATCTTGTTCATTTATGCATAACCATCTAAACACTGTTGGTGTCGATACTGTTTATAAAAAAAATAGTGAATTACAGTAAAGGGGAAAAAATGCATTTGAACCAATGTACCTTGTACGAGCATGTTAGATCATTGAATTTTCTATACGTTCTTCACACAAGAGAACCCATCTAAGATATGCAAATCGAAAAAATGAAAAGGAAAATGAAAACCTTTTCATGCTTAGTTTCATAGTCGTGTGGCTTTCGTGTTAGGTGCTACACTGGGTAGCTTGTAGCCTACTCGAAGGCGTGAATGTGCGGGGTACGAGAGGGGCTGTGCGAGGTCTCATGAGGCAGCGGGTGAAGGGCACTGCAGCAGCGGAACCCGAAGAGAAAGGTTCGCTTGCACAGGAAATGAGTTGACACTAGCATGCGTTGCCCCGCTTTGTATTAGCAGCAATCTTGTTGATCAGTTGACTGCGCACGACAGTAGTGACCAATAACTTCGTATGGTGATCAAATCGCCTATGGCCACCATGTCCACTGTTTATTAGGTGGGATCTCGTCATGCTTATCCAGCGTATTAACATGCATCAACTATTGATGGATATTCGCTCGAATTTATCAAGGCATTGAATTAAAGTATATAATTATTGTGGACTGATGAGAACTAAGAGCTACGGTTCTTTTTACCTGCTAGAACATTCAACTCGCCCAATGAAACCTATATTTTTCATACTAGCATCATGACAGATTCTGGGCTATCCTATGATGCGAACGCATTGACGAAACAATCGGAATTGATGATAAATTATAATCACGGACAGCTGGCTAGATATCGGGCTCTGGGATAGCTATCGGGCTCTTCTTTGGAGATGAGCACACAGGAGTCGCGTGGGTCTCTATATTTGGCAGCGATGCTGAGGACCAAGTTGGGCGAGGGTTGGGGCTGGGGACTCTGATCTTCACACAGCACACTTCGATGTTCGTAAAGAGTGTAAACCTCGTTTATGCAGAAAATTAGAAATCTCTAGAATAATCAAGAATTGATTTGATTGAACTTGGCCATGCATCTTCAGAAGCCTAATTTCATTTGCGCATTTCTCGAGATATAAAAGAGATTAGTGACAAACAAATGTTTTTTTTGCACACGTACCACGGAGTCGAACTTGCGTATGAACAAATTTGGAGTGGAGAGCTATCGCGATTGCCGCAAACCCTGCTGCGCAATACTTCCTCTCCTGCCTCATTGTCGTTTGCATCTTTCTCGTCTGAATAATTGACATTGTATTTTTTTCACTTTTATAATATCGTAGCTTTGATTGGCAAGTGCATGATTACACTAAGTATGTGTAATCAGAATTCTAGCAGGTACCGTACAGGCTATTATTTTTTCTTATGCTCTTCAAATCAGTTTGTACTATTGCCGAAATTTTTATAGAAATCCTAGTTTGTTTTGACGAGAGAATGCTTGATTACCCTTGCTGCTCGAACAACAACTTGGAAGCCTTGAATCGCTAAGCAGGTGTTGATGTTCTTCCTGTTCCTGCCTGCACTTCACAAAAACTGGATCTTATCAGATGGCCTAACCTTGCCGCCGCACGGCTGCCTATCACTGAGGCTTTCACTTCTAGAACTTGGCACGCTAATTTATCATAGGTAAAGTTTCGGGTTGCGATAACGGCGGCTATAGAAGCGAAGTATAATTTAAAAGTTCGTGAAGGTGGGAATATTAGTTCTGCATTACTGTTTCACCGTCACAACTTTCTGGGAAAAGTGGCTCCGACAGCCTTGCTGAATGATGGAACGAATCGTACTGTTGATGAGTTAACGATCTAATTCTGACGAGTTAGACTTAAAATCGTGATTCTGAGGGTGATGTGTAATGATCGAAGTTTATGATTGAAAAGCAATATAAGTAAGCCGTTGAAACGAATGTCGGAGCGTCCTTGTATTGCGTGGCCGACCCTCGCATCAGCGAAAGGGAACGTGAGAAAGGCAGTGAACGTTGGAGGTAGTGCGTGGTGCTGGCAAGGGCGAAAGTGGACGAAGGGGACGTACGTGTGTTGCTCGGCGCCAGAGTCGACTTTTGCTCTCATGACCTACATTGCTGCGGCCTTCCAGCCTGCCTCCTTCGGGCAGGTTAATTAACTGAAGTTTTTTATTTAAAATTTACAAAGAATCAATCTAATAAGAGGACGCACCAGCACTTGATCTATTTCAAACCCTGTCACTGTTCTCTAGCACGTAAATGCAGCTTTCTCTTTTCAAAAGAACAAAAGAACTTGCTCTCGGTGCGTGAAGAAGAAAGACATTTTTCGAGAAAGTAGGTCCAAGTTCCGATAGGGTAATCGGATGAGAATTTATAAAGCTATATTCGAAGCCTTTTTAAAGTCTTGCTTGAAAATACCCAGCTTTCATCGTGCCAATATTAGCCTTTATTGAAGTATCATTTAAGAATGTTAAGAGTTGAGTTCTAACTCATATAGAGAATTTACTTTGCGTTTATTTTCGTGTCACTTGTGTATTCGTGCAAAGTTGACTCATTCCGATATTTTTTTATTTCAGAGGCGGATCAGTGGAAGCACAATGTCTTCGGGCAGCCCGACACCATCGCTGGAGTCCCTGGCCGGCACTCCGATCGGCTCACTCATAGACTCTGACCCCACGCGCTCCTTGGAGAACTCGCCCCCCGTGTCCACTACCAGTAAGTTCATTCAGAGATTATGGGAATTAAAATTACGTGTGAAGAACAAGGGTTCAACGACAAGGTTTAACGTTTTGAGGACAAGGGTTCGAATATTTTCAGTGTACGAGCTTAACCGAAAGTTTAACGATTGTTCATTTGTTTGACATTAAGCTCCAAGCTTCGTTCTTGGCAATTTTTTCGCTCCCTTCATGTCGCAAAATTATCAGTACCGGTACTCGCATTTGTGTGATGCAAGAAAAAAAAACGTAACCGTTAAGCAATGAAGATGGATATTTTTTCTTGCTTTGCAGTAATCAAACTGATGACATGCTTATTTCACTCAGGTTCGGTTGCTGGTCCGGCTGGTGTGATTGCTACAACTTGCCCCGTGTGCAGCGACACTTTCAACTCGCCGCGAGTCCTGCACTGTCTACACGCCGTGTGCATGCAGTGCCTTGACAAGATCTACGACGGTGAAAAAATAACCTGCCCAACGTGTCACAATACAACTGAGGTTCCTCCTATAGCCTTGATGCCGGACTACGCCATCCAACGCTTACTCGAAAACTCGTCCTCGGACGATCACCAGGGCTGCACCGTCTGCAAAAGAGATGTGGCTACATCAAAGTGCATTAATTGCTCTCAGTGCCTGTGTTCGAACTGCTTGACCTCACACGACTACATGCACGGAATGCTCAACCACACCGTGGTGGGCATCGAAAATGGTGCACGGGAAGACAGAGCCGTTGCCTGCATTCGTCATCCAGCAGAAGCCGTACGGCTAGTTTGTGTTCCGTGCCGCGTTCCCATCTGTGCTGATTGCGCCATTATGGAGCATCCACAGCCTCAGCACCAACACATGAGCCTAGCCGACGCTGTTGCTTCGCACATGGATTCTTTCAACAAATGTCTTGAAGCTTCCAGAGCCAAAGCTCAAGATCTCAGAGTGTGCATTAAAAGTATCGAGAATTCCAGCTGCCGTATGATGACGCAGTACGAGAAGGCTCGTGGCGACATCACAAGCAGTTACAACCAACACGTAGCGGCTGTTACTGAACGTCGCAATGAAATGTTCTTGGAGCTCGATAACTACTACAACAACAAACAGCAATCTCTGGCTACTGCTGCTCGGAAGGCGCAAGACAGCGTCGATGCCATCTGGACTGCATGTGACTTCGTCGAAAAACTGAAGAAATATGCTAGCCCAACAGAGCTATTGATGCATCGTAGATTGATAGAAGCCCGCCTCATGGAACAAGTCTCCATGAACTTGGATGTTGGACTGGAAGGTGCGAGCGAGCTCGAGTTTGTCACCAACTATGCTGCCTTGCAACAGTCTATTCGCAACAGCTTCGGGTACATCAGGTCATCAGCTGACCTACAAGGGCCTTCGAAAATGGGTCCTATTGCAAGGCCAAATTCGTCTGTATCTTCGTTAAACAACTTCAACAACACGTTGAACTCGTTGAATGGGCTTGCACTGTCGAATGGCGTTGGAAATTTTTCAAGCACTGCTCATCAGCAACAGCTGTCCTCACTAGCTTCCCAGCTTGGAAACCTTCAGATGCAGCAACAGAACCACTCCAACCACGGTAACTTCCACGGCAATAGCCTCGGCAGTTCATCTTTGGCCAGCACTTTGGCTGCTCTCAACTCGACTGTAAATGGGGGTTCAGTTTCTAGCAACGTGTTAGAAAGGGCGCTTGCAAACTCGCAGCTGAATTATTTCAAGCGTTACGGTCCGATGCATTCTGGATATTCAGCTAACTCGGCTGCCAGCTTAGGAGACCTGAACTTGAACTCAACTGCTGGTTACGAAAAGTGGAGTCCTGGTGATGGTTTAGTTTACAACCACGATGTAATGAGCTTGGTTCCAGGTGCCGACGTGTCGTCGGCAGATGTAAAGTTCAGCTCTTCTTTGAACCAGTTCCCACCAAGGTCTCAAATTAAGCGCCAGAAAATGATATACCACTGCAAATTCGGCGAGTTTGGAGTCTTGGAAGGACAATTTACGGAACCGAGCGGTGTAGCTGTCAATGCCCAAAATGATATCATCGTGGCTGACACAAACAATCACCGCATCCAAATCTTCGACAAGGAAGGCCGCTTCAAATTCCAGTTTGGAGAGTGCGGCAAAAGAGACGGTCAGCTTTTGTACCCTAACAGAGTAGCTGTGGTGAGAACAAGTGGAGACATCATCGTCACCGAACGCTCGCCCACACATCAAATTCAGATCTACAACCAATATGGTCAGTTCGTTCGGAAGTTTGGCGCGAGCACTCTGTGCTACCCGCGAGGTGTGACTGTTGATAGCCGCGGTCGAATCATTGTTGTAGAGTGCAAAGTTATGCGCGTCATTATCTTCGACCAATATGGCACAGTCCTTCATCAGTTCAACTGCCCCAACCACCTTGAGTTCCCCAACGGCTGCGTTGTCAACGATAAACAAGAGATCTTCATATCTGACAATAGGGCGCACTGTGTGAAGGCAAGTATTTCATACGCAGTTTGAATTTTTGAATTTATTGACGAGTGAATCCTCTTCAGTTATAAATGTGAAGTAGTTATTTTGTATTGGTCAAGTAATGATGGAAGTTCGTATTTTTTTATCGTGTTTTAGAACATTATCTTTTATCTGAACGTACTTCCATCAATTGTCTCCCTTGAAGTTTAATTTTAGGTCGCCATCTGAAAGATTTTCTTATCTAATGTATTTGCAGGTGTTCAACTACGACGGGCAGTATCTGAGGCAGATCGGCGGTGAGGGCATCACCAACTATCCAATAGGCGTGGGTTTGACCACTCAGGGAGAAGTGCTGATTGCTGACAACCACAACAACTTCAACTTGACCCTGTTCACTCAGGACGGTACCCTGGTATCCGCCTACGAGTCGAAAGTCAAACACGCTCAGTGCTTTGACGTTGCTCTCATGGACGATGGCTCAGTGGTTTTGGCTTCAAAGGACTACCGCCTCTACGTTTACAGGTATCTGCAGGTACCTCCTCATCTGTAAACACACCTTGGAAACAGCTGTTGATAGTCTTGGTGATTCACTAACTTTCTGAACTTCCCCACTTGGAAAATAAGGTGAGGGGATTGCTTTAGAAGGAAGTGTGATTTTTCAGATAATGAATTGGAGAAACGCGTGTGGACTTGGAGTTCTGACCTTAAATGAGAGTTGTAAGCAGTCAATCTGAACGCGATTTATAGTTTTCTCGTCTTGAGAGCATTACGTAGGGTTCCCCTGCGTGGCATTGGCTGCAGTGAAAGGTGTTAGGAGTTGTAATGAACGTTGCTGCTTATCAGAAATGTAAAACTTTGAGCACGTCGCGGTCACCTTGCGTGTTCTTCACGCTTCCGCGCTAGTCTCGGTGTGCAAGCGACAATATCGATTCGTTTAACTACACGTTGCTCAATTGGCCAAGTGGTATGGTATTTTGCTCTCTATTTTCTGCCCGATTTTAGTTATTATTCTGTTCTGAAAATTACGCTAGATTTTCTCGAGGGTGTGATTTTTAGTTTCTTTGGTTGCTTCATATTAAGTTGATCTCTGAAAGGTTCTTTATTTCTGTTCTGTTTCCTCATTCCTGATTTGGCCTGAGGGTTGTTGTGTTTTTGTTTTTGTTTTCCAAAATTTCAACTGTTACCATCGTGTTAACTTGACGTTTGTGGTTCCCAACCATCCTGTTTACCTATCGACTCGTTTCTATTCGCTCTGGTCTTCATATCGCTTATTGGTTTTCAGAAACAGTGGGGCGTTAAGCCTTGTTACTGCATTCGTTGTAGCTACGTGATTTACTGGAAGGATTTTTCAAATGATGGAATATGAAAGACTTTCGTGTAACCTCGAATATTAATAACATTCCACAAAAAGTCTTGAAGGGAAGAGGGAATGAAACGAGTCACTCGGAATTGAGAGGACATCTCGGGGAAATATTTTCTCACGATCCAATTGTTAATCCCGGTTTTGTAGGCCGTCTGTTAGAGAAATAGTTTTGATATGACGGCTTATTCGTAGGTTTAGCTCTTGCTGGCGTGTAGTCTATTTTTTATTGATGTGCTGACTAACTCAATTGCAATGGTATACTATAGGCACTTAACACTTATCTTAAACCTGAGCCTAGTCACCGTTGATTTGTCTGTTGTCTTCACGAAAACAAATAAATAAGGAAATAAAATGTTATTCATCGAACGTTGATTGACTCGTGCGGTCACAGGATTACCTTCCAATTATACTTTAATTCCCCCCATAATCCTGATTAGAATTGCGTTGAATGCCCGTTGGTTAAATTTCTTCAGTGATTGTGCCTGCATTGTAGAAAGGATTGTAGAACTTTGAGTTTTCACCGGTGATTCATAATATACCCTCCCATCCCCTCAAGTTTAGACCACTGTTTTCTGTTTAGAGCTCATTGCAATTTTTGTTGTCTGCGTTACGGTATCTCCCTGTTACACTTAACTGTTTGCCTTTTCTGTTTACTTGTGTTTTGTTCAAGTTTTTGCTGTGTATTTATTCGTCCCTAATTTATTTCTGTTACCTCGCCGCTTGCTTTCATCATTGTAAGAAAAGAATAAGCTGTTAACCTACGCCTTGGATGTCGTATTGCTGCCCATTATTCCTAAGTCTTGGCCTTTGGCTTGATCGAACAAAGGGGCGACGCTGATAGACTTTTAGATGTTGGAGCCTACGTTATCACTCAGCATAGCCTCTGTATGTGTAATTTTGTAAAAACTGTTTAGTTTTATTTCAATTTTATTTTTTATATCTTGTTTTGAAATGTTAGAGCTGTTACCGTAGTTGATATTCCAGGAGAGTTTTAGTTTTAGTGCGCTAATCTTAGTCGGCCTAAGCATGGTTACTGAGAACCAACATCCTCAGTTACGAAGGTTTTAAAAGCCTTGTCATTTGTAGTGACATGAGCTCTTAGAATGTCGGTAGACGGCGTTCGTAGACAATCAAATGCTGATCAGAGCTGTAGATTTTCCCAAATAATTATAAATGATTGGGGGCCAAAAAGCGATTTTTTCTAGACTCCATTGAAAGTCTTAGCACTAACTAGTTCCTGTGGAATTCAGCTGTGAAACACAATTGAGAAGCTTGTCATGAACTTCGGTGCACTGGTTTATGTGCGTCACGCTAACCACGTAATTTCGCTGCGTAATTTTAAGGTTTCTCCATTTTCCCTATTGCTTATTTTTGGAAGTGAGCAAATAAGTTTCGTAGCTCATGAGTTTTGCCTCGGCACAATATCCCTGAACTTCTTCAGCTTCCTTTAGTTAACTATTGGTACGTAAATAAATTAGAGTCCAGGACTAGATGCAAACTTAAACCGTTTTTAGTTCTGCTAGATCTAGCTTTCTGTGAGCCGTTTTATGTGGAGTTTTTCAGCAAATTATAATTTTCAATGTCTTAAATCGTGAATGATTTTTATTGAATTAATTACTGCATCTTTCTGTACATGTCTAGGGCTTTGTAATATCTTTGAAGTCCGTTCACTGTTTTGTTGAGAACAATTTCGTGTTTGAGCATTTTTTTTAGTCCTGTTGCTTGTTGAGTAACTATTCTCTAGTATTTAGATACTCGTTCGTGAATCGTTTCTCAAATTTATTTGAATTTAGTCGCAACGAAGGTCGTTGTTTTACACAGAGAAAGTTACTTTCATTATTTTCACACAAAATCCCCCAGATCCGGGAGTAGCGAACTTTGTCATTTTTTTTAATTACTGCCAAACGCTGGGCACATGTTCCGGATGAAACTAAATTAGAAATTTTTCGTTACTTTTCCTGGAATTGTGCCGAGAAAATCTTCCCACTAGCTTACTTTTAACCAACTGTGACCTTTCATATCACTGTGTAGGAACATGCCTTAAACGTTGCATTCTACGTCCAGGCCTAGGTTTAAGGGTGCCCATAGTAAAGTCCGCTGAGCCTCTACTTGAGAAGATTTCAATCGAGGACTTGGTGTTCATTGGAAAATAACCACATTAATAGACTTTACAATGTGGGGTTGTAACTTGTGTTACTGTTGTTGATGTCCTCTCATAGAACACGTTAGAGGCCATCGCGTTTTTTTGGTGTAGTTGAATTTCGCTACTTGTTGAATGTTGATGTTTGAAATAGTTATTAGCGAGTCAGAAAAGGTCTTTGTAGTCGGTTTTGTTCTAATGAACATACTGACATCATTGTACCTGATCTTCCTTCCAAGCTGCAACTAAAAAATTTCACAAATTTTCAGTGAAGCTAAAAGATGCTAATCATGAGCTCAATTCCTTGTTATTGCTCTGTGAGGAGCATTTTAAGCATCTTTTAAAGGATTTATTGGTAAAAGATACTTGCCCAAACTGCACTTGTGCAGATCTGCTATTGTTATTTTGAGTGCTGTGGATTGTTGAAAATTTTCTTGATGAATAAATTTGAAGAGTTACGTGAGCGTAAGATGGTGCAAGGTGTTGCGCACTCGCCGATCGAACTTCTAATACTTATGAAATTTGAACTAAGCTTTTTTGTACTCTAGCTCATAACTTAGGATGTATTTGGCTAGATTAGAATTGGCTCTATAACAATACGAAGTGTGCTTTTCCATGTTAATATAGTTCTTTGATGTAGTTGCCCTAGGCTTGATAGATGCGAGAGAGCCCATTGCACTGGTAGATCTTCTGTTCCAAATATTTGATCAAATTTGGGTCAGTCGTGCCATTGTGTTGCAATCACTCTGTTGTATACTAGAGCACATTCCAGTTGTTGTGGTTCTTGGAAAGTTTGTTCTCTCGTGTTAGTTTGCCTATAGCTCTTAACACAGCCATGTCAATGACGAAGAGTCTGAAGCGAGCAGGCACTCGAAAGTCTATTTTTCCACGTTTTTATGTCCTGACTGATAACAGTTAATGGCATGCTTGCTGATGAAATTCAAAGGCCTTCTCTGCGGCGTGGCTGTAAGATGTGGCCACAAAAATTATACCGACATACCGTGGTGCATTTTGTTTTCATCCTCTCAAAGACACCAGTATTAGGATCGCTCGTCCAATGGGCTCTGTCCCATCTGTTAATTTGGTAAAAGTCTGTGTTGGGTTGAGCTTATTTACTCTTATTACGGAAGAGCTTCACCTCGTCTGTGACTTGAATGGAGTGTCATTTTAGTCTAGCAGTGAGATCCGAACCGAGTCACTGGTGCGACAGAACATTCCACAATTGTTACAGTTTTGCATTGTTAGACCGGTAGTTTGTTGTAGTTTGACAACTTCTGTAGTTAGCATTGCTCGCTGCCCGTACCGCGGTGATCGCTCTTGATCCTCTGTAGCAACTCCGTTGCTTACAACTAAAACCCTAGAGTTCGAAAAAATTTTCTTCGGCTACAGAATGCTAGAGCTTGAACCCGGTGCGTGGTCTGTTGTAGATGTCCCGCGGTTCTCTGCTTAACCCTCGCTCAGTGTTAAGAACTTGACGAGGGCTCCTTCTTGCGCTCTTTCTCGGTGTGCTACTTCCATCAAGGGGTTGAGGATCGCGTGCACTTCTGACTGTGGGCAGAGGATGCACGGGGAGGTCAAATACGGTGAATTGTTAGCTCGGAACCCAATATCTACTCGTGTATGTTTGTAATGATGTTACTTAGGCCTAAGAAACCCTGGACTGCTAAACTTACCTGTTAGGCTAATTGTGGTAGTTATCCCTACTGTTTATTGGTTGTTCCAGCGTTACTGTATTACCAAACGTGTCGATGTGGATCAAGCTATGTCAGTTGTTTAGAGATGTAATGAGTTTTATTTTGATAAACTGACTTTTTCAAATTCTTATCTAGTTTTTCACAAACTTGTTGACTTAGCCAAGTAACACTGAGCGCTCCGTTACGCCAGTTAACTATGTTACCAGCACCCTGGGAGCAGCCATTAGCTTGCTAGAACCAATCTCTCGAGCGTGGCGCACCAGCGGCGCTGCTCTCGTTCAAAGAAGCGCAAGAAATGTACAGTCCCGCTTATTTAACGCCATCCTCTGGCAACCAGGCCAAAATGAGCCTTTGCATGCATCATTTAAACTGGTCGTTGATTCAGACCTAGTACGGGACAGTTGATTTCTTTCGCGTCTTCGTTTGACTTCCTTACCTTGTAGGGTAACATGTCCTAGTCTGTGCCTGCTTTCATGGCTTGTTTTGTTGCAGTTTATTTATTTGATTTGTCAATATGGAAGGTATTTACTCATTAAGCTTAGTCAACTTCTGAACTTGATTACTAGCATTCCTTTTCAGATTTTTGCACGGTTTCTCTTTGCACTAATATGCCCCCTATTCGTACATCGAATAAGACTGCTGAAGCTGTTCTAAACTAAACTTTGATTTTTCATTTCTCAGCATTGTTTTTTGAGACAGAGGGATATTCAGTTTTTGCAACACTCTAGCACAGAATTTGGACAGAGAACTTGACCGCACTTTTGAGCTAGAATTTTGACTTGGTCAAAAGTTGGCGTGTGGATGATAGATCTGTCTCTGTGTACAGCTTATGCTAAGTTTGTATTTATTCATCGTATTTATAGCGCTTTTTAGCCACTGTTCTTAGTTTACTGTGATTAGTTTAATTTTAAGATCATACTCAAAAGAATTAAGTTGTGCCTCTTCGTGATCCATCCTACTGGGAATTTGTGCTACTTAACTGATAAAGTTCGTTGTCGTTCCTCATTGTTAGGCATAAGCCTTGGTTGATGCCTTATTGGTTCGAAGACAAATTCGACACGGGTCTACCGAGAACCAGTTCAACAATAGTTGAATTGTAGAAACAGTTGAGCAATATTGAGGAAAATTTGAGGTTCTGGGAATGTTGGAATTTTATTGCCTTCCATGGTGTTTTGTTGATGCTGTTATGGCTTTTTTTTCGATATTTCAATAAAAGTATTTTGTTTGTCACCTCCGATTCATTCAACCTTATAATTTTTGTTTGTTAATAATCGTTGTCGGATAGTTAAGTCAATTTCAACGAGTAGTTGCGATTAAACGCTTGAGAAATAGGATTATTACCGATTGATGATGTGCGTTCACAGTAAGAGTACATAATGCCATTTTTTTTTTTTTTTTTTGAAGACTTACGCATTCAATTTTAGGCACAGAAACGAGACGTGCGTATGAATATTGAGCATTTCGCGGACATGTGAATGTACTAATTGAAACGGGCGGCTTGCTATTCGAAATGCATGTTGCCTAACCTGAAAAGAATGCTTTTCTAATATGTTGCTGCACAGCTTCCATAGAGTTGCACAGCGTCCACTGAGTTGCTGCATAGCTTTGGGATAACAAATACATTTGAAAAGCAGCCAGACGCAATAATATTGATACTCATTAAGAATTTAAATTGCTTGTCGGATCATAGCTTTAACGTATTGCTTACAAGTGACATGACTAATTTTCAATTGCTACTAGTCAACTGAAGTATCTACACCAGGAAATTGAATTGACCATCGTACCTAATTCTGGGTCATTTTGGCTTTTGTCTTTCGAGAACCGCATTCAATTCAATCAATTACAGAGATGTAGGAAGATGTCTTAAGTCAAATTCATATGTTCACATTTTTAAACGGCTTGATAAATTAAAATGCCCAAATATTTTTTTTCCCCAACGAGTTATTAAACTTTCAGTTGAGTATATAATGCTAATCTTTGTTTACGGCACAAAAAAGCACCACGAACACGTGCAATCCGTTCATCCAACGGGACGGACGACCTTTACATTTAAGTACACTCACCTTTGTAATAAAAAGGTACCAAAATATCAAATTTGAAGACTTTTTTTATGGACAAGTTACGAAAAAAACTTAACAAAAGTTAACATCTTTATTCATGTACACCAGAAATATATGAAACTCTAAAATTCAACATCGCAGCCAGCTACAGGCAATAGAACTGAAACACTGGGTTGATAAAATACTTGTTGAGAAAATTTCATTGAGAGGGTCGTATTCGTGAAACGTATGACTCGTCACAAATCAATTAATACAACGGATACTCTTCCGACACGTTGTAGACTTCTCTAAAAAAATGAAGCATTCAAATGAAACCCAAGCCCAGAAGCCGATGGTAAGCAGCTGCTTCAGGCATAAGAAAAACAACCTATCCTTATATTCGGACACTAATTTGCGGCTCGCCACTGCACTCCGGCTCAACACCATCTAACCAAGACCCGGTAACGCCACAGAAGACTAATAGAATTTAGTCAACAGTCTAAGCTAAAAAAAATTGGATGCTTAAGCTACAATAGGAACTTACATACGAGAATATTATTCAAAGTTAGTAACAGAACTTTTTACACGGTTATGAGATAATACATGAACGACGTATTGTGAAGTTAACGAATGATGATAAGAGTCATCAGTCAAATGATTAAAATTCATGAAAGATCTATTCAAAGTAGCCTCCTTTAATTCAATTTGTCATAAGCCCAAACGTTGAAGTTTACATCGGGTGACATTTCGTTGAATTACTACTTCATACTCGCTCAACTTGTTGAAGTATAAAAAAAACTGAAAGCACCAAAAATACAACTCGAATGTACTGCGTTTATGAAGCTGGAACAATCCAACTTGTAGCTTCAAACAAGTATGTTTCCATTAACTAGCCTCTGGAGACAATTCACAGAACAGAGGTAGTCTTTCTTCAACCCATCCAGCAGAGCCGAATCTCAAACAATCAATATTTACATACCAAAAATACAGAATATTTGCTACCCCAAGACTCGAACATTCGAAAGATGTACAACATCCAAGGGGAATTATTGATGAACAACTAGAAAGAATCAATGGATAAGCGATTTTGTTACAAGTTTCTGAAATTAAATCGATTCAAAATCAATAAATATTGACTTAATCACGAATCCCGCTTCTCGCAAACGAAATGCTTGAGATTTGATTGATTATTTATGCTGCAAAAAGTGCAGATTCTAGCAATATTGCGTTAGTTGATATTGCAAATCTTGGGGCATACAAGATTAGTTCTCGAGATAAACCAATATTTTTGAGCGATTTGAACTAGTCTTCAGTAAAAGCGAATCATCACCGTATTAACAAGTCACAAGATATTTCAACAAGATGCAGTTCTGTAGCAGGTTAAAATCAAAATTCCACTCGCTAATAAGAAAGTGAATCGATCATGCGTAAGAATCATACAAGTGGCCATCAAAATTAAATTGTTTGGAAGAGAGATTGGAAACTAACCTCACATGAGGAATTGAAGTTTATTTTTGGCAGGAGTAGTGAGGCGAGCAGCGTTGTGAGCCACAGATTTTGATGCGTCGAGACGAATGGAACGTCGCTTAGTTTGTGTTCTAGGCGTCGCAAGACTAGGCGACTGTCCGTACGTCGCCTTGGATGCATTATGGCGACCCAAGTAAGACGCATTGCGACGTACTGAAGCGGAGGCTGCAGTCCGGGTCAAGGTAGAGATGTTGCGAGGAGTGCGAGGGGAGCCGCGTTGGGTAGGAGGAAGAAGAGCTACCCTTGGTAGTGTCGCTGGAGGACGCATAAGCCTCGGCATGGTTGCAGGGGCGCGATGGATCCTGGATGACGTAGCGGGCGTCGTGCCGCCGTACGGGGAGCGGCACACGAGCAAGGAAGACTTCAGTGGACGAGCGCTCACTGGTGACGGCAGAATTGAGGAACGCACCTGATCCTCTTGTGAACGCACGGCGATATTCTCCTGGAAACACAATCTCGATAAAATTTTGCAAAAACAGTTTGAAGTTCAACTACCAAAATTGTGGTGAAAAGTAAGAAAAAATTTGCTGCATAAAATAGAAAAAATTGGATTGGCGATAATTGATATAGTCAAGAAGATATATACAGCTACAATTTAAAATTAATAACCGTAGTGCTTTTATTATCAGCTGAAAACAAGATTATAATTCGAACACAACTTATAAGACTTTGTTCATAATCAATACATGGCTGATTTTTCAGTTATGGACACGTATAAAAGAGTTAATTCAATTGGATTTTAGCTTGAATGTAACTAGCCATGGGATCTATGAAGAGTGAAATTTTTGTGAGAGCACCGACACTACAATACAAGAAGTAGTGGATGGGTTACCTACACAGATAAATACATTACTAAGAATATTTTTTTAGAGTTAAATGTATGCCAAAGTACAACTACTCAAAAGAAAAAAGAAACGCGTGATGATAGCTAATGATGTAAAACCAAACTTCTGTATTCTAACAACTTAGGTCCATCCATTTCTTGACACGAGCAACTAAGGGCTCTATTGTCAAATCACCGCGACGCACAAAATGTTCAACTGACAAATGTTGAAACTTCAAAAGGAAATATCCGAAGATTATTTGGCGATGAAAATGGTCCTAGTCGTGATCAAAGTTTTCGCATAAATTGAAAAGACAAATTTTTTTAGCTACAAAATCATTAGCTATTCAGTCGTACTAACTAACGAAAAAATTTCAGCTTCGTAATGATGCAAAGGTTTCCATAACTGGAGACGATAATAGAACGAACATCCATTAGGATCAAAGGATGTATGAAGTACCTGTATGAAGATTAATACGGGAATATATATATATACTTCATGCAAGTTCAAATGGAGACCAGCGAATGCATTCTAGCGGCATTTTATCGTTAGATACGTGCTTGTAATCGACGATAATACGTACACAGAGGCATGGAAGAGTTAGCTCAAAAACCGAAACGCAAAGCCAGTTACCAGCTCGGCTCCCGGAAAAGGTTGAACTAACTACTAAGGTAAAAAAAAATCTAACTATGGGTAGTAATTAAGATAGAAATACTCAATTAGATGTTGAAACATCTAGGAAGCAAATTACTATCCCTCTAACAGACAGAAAAACGGAACCCCAACGAATGTGTTGAGAGGCCTGGAATCAACAACAGGCAGACTTGAGTCACAATTCTTTCGCTATTTTTACCGTAATCAGCGCAAAAAAAAGGAAAGACTGCTCAACCTACTAGTTAGATATGCAATAAATTTTTCAGCGCAGATTAGTGATTAATTTATCGTTTTTGAATTGGCTACTTTATAATTGGACCAACACCACAAAACGATGAAAGCAACAAGTAGATGAGATGCCGTGACATTTAAGACAAAACATATTTACCAAGACGGTGACTGTATTAGAGCACATTTGCCAGCCGTAAGCGAGCAGATGCGGCCGCCTTTTTAGTAGAATTAGGAGGCTTCGGAGGCAGAGTGTGACGGGAACCAGTTATGCCAGATGCACCACTTAATTGTTGGGAACTGCTCCACTTATGAGCAGTAACTAAAGCCATCGGCTTCCTGACATTGGTATGACTCAATTGTAGGGAGCTGCTCCACTTTTTAACAGTGGCAAGGGGCGTAACTTTTTTGAAATCCGTCTTATTTGGAATTAATTTCAGGTTCCGTTTATTCGTTCTGTTAGACAGTGAAATACGCGGGATGTTTGTACTGCTCTGGCTGTCACAAGACAACAAAACAGAGGAACATTTCTCAAAATCGCTCGATGAAGCATGGCTGTCGACGAACACTTGACCAGCCAGAGGTTTGCTAGCGGCGGAGTCCATTGTGCTGGCTAGATTAGTTAGCTCGTCGCTGGTATTATTTTCTTCGTGTGACGACGAGCGACGACGACGCTTTCTTGAGGACGGTATTATTTTTATTGTGGAATTATTTTCCTCAGTGCTACTACAAGTCGTTTGCATAAAATACGAGTCTTGTGCGTCCGTGTGTGTCCGAGGGATACGTTGAAAGCGCTTCTTCCTCTGGGTGATGTTGAAAAGCTTCGAGCTGCTCGTCATTTCAGGAGTTTCTTCCTAAATAGCGCACCCAATTAAAGTAAATACAGGACAGAAGAGAATAAAGTCCCAAGGAAATAAAAGAACAACACAAAAAAGCGGTCTTTCTTAAATCAGCCTAAAAAATAAAAATAATCCAAGAAACCAGTAAAAGCAGCGATTTACTTACACTAAATTCCAGTAAAAAGTTGAACCATTCAATCAAAAGCTCTTCCAACAAATAAACAGCTGAAACGCTTTTAAAATGAACAATAACAAAATTGTAAATCTGAAACCGATATGTTTAACAGATTCAAAAGAGCAAACAAGAAAAATTGAGAGGTTCAGAAGAATAAGACGAATGTAATCGTTAAAGCAGTAAATAGAACACTCAAGAACCGAAACAAAACCAGGTCCAGATGGTTAAATCAAGTCACCTCAAACTGGGAATAGGTGGAGAGAATAGCAGAGCTGTTGGAGGAGCTGTTGGTGGCGGCGCCTTTGGCACGCAGACGTCGCGACTGACGGCGAGTTACATCGCGACGACCACTGGGTCTGGGAGTGTTGTTCTCTGTTAGGCCTCTTCGTTGACTCTGGAAAATCTCAAAAATTTGATTATGAAACTCAAATTAATAGTGATCAAATGTCTATTTTAACAGTTCAAATTTATCTACCGCCCATAATAATCTTTTCAGTGAAGACCTGAGCAAGAACAAATTTTTTAACGATAATGATGAAGCATATATAACGAAGGCCAAAAACTTTTACAGTTCGATTATACACAAAACTATTTTCATCAGCTGAAAGAATGTTCTTCATGTTACTGAAATCTCTTCGCAAACCACAAATTAGAGTTAACTGGTTAGAAGGCTTTCGAAAATTAGGGATGTTACACTACAAGAAGCTCGAGTATACATATAGATTGTACTAGACTAAATTACATGCAAGATGTATGGTACATAAGTAGTATGGGAGGCCATTGCAACGATTTTTGGTAGCCTGATAACTATGAGTAGAAACAGCTACAAGATGGATAATTGTTTACATGAATGAATTTGCAACAAAATCGAATTTGGGAATTAGCACAGCTAGTTCAATTCCGACCTATGAGAATGACGTTAGAAGGTTGATACATGGGCGGGTTTTCGGTCCTTGCTAGGCAAACCGCGAGAACAATCATTCTAGTCTCAGTCTCCTGATTTTTGAAGTTTCGTTCCTTACATCCCTTTTTTCGACTTGGGACTCATACATAAAGCTCTACCAGTCACTCAGAATGCGAAAGCCTCGTTGTTCATACCTTGGTGGGCGAGAGGCAAGAGAGAGCAGTGCGGTGAGAAGCAGAAGAGGTCGAGCTGTAGTTAGGACGGCGCGAGGTTGTGGTGTTAGCACCGCGCTTCTTCAGTGTCGACTTGGTACCCAGACGAGCCTCCTGCTCCAACTGAGCCGCTCTTGCCGTTTGCTGCAAAATGAGAAACATCAAAATCATACAGTGCTATAATGAGCATGTAGAGGAAATTCATCAGGCATGGCAACAGCGGCCAATCTTCATTGGTCCGCTGCGTCACGTCAGCAGATACGTAGCCAATAAGTAAGCGTAGGTAGCCTTAGTCATTAGCTCGTTGAAACTCGTGGGAGGTGGAACGCGAACTTCTCGTTTCCACTCTCGGGTAAGGTTTAGGACATAAAACTAGTGGATCTATTGATAGTGCTGTGCACTGTGCTATCAGCTACCTATCTGTTATGTGACTCTTCAATGTTTAGAAGATCTGCATTCCTGAAGTGTTTTTGTATATTGAAGCCAGTTAAATGGTCAATATTTAGCTTATTACCTTGCTTCATACAAACTTTACAAAGCTAATGAATAGACAGTACCAATAATTGTTTACCCAATAATCCCTAAGTGGTAAACACCACCTTGGCCTGTTGGCCATTATTGAAGGCAATAAGTGCCCTTTTTAGCCATCCATTATGATCCATATACGGTACTGTTATTGTTAATAGGCTAATTGCAACATAAAAAATTACACTTCAAAAAGACAAAAAAGTTGAAAAAATCAAAAAAATCATGATAAAATAAAAAAATCATTGATTTTTTTGATTTTTTAAAAAAAATAAAAAAAAATCGCCAACCCTGGTATGAGTACACTCTGCATGCTTCAAATGTTTTAAAATTAAGTTTTATTCCAAGTGTCCCAAGTAGTTCTATTTGACGGGGCTACTCGGGACACTTTTTTTGCTAATGGCACCTTACGAATAGCATATGGAATTTTTTTTGGAGAAGCCATGCAATAGCCCTCGCAAAGAGCTTTGAAATGAGAATAAACTTATTTATGAAATGTTTCATGGTAAGAAGTTATGAATGAAAAATGTTCAAAATTGTCCCAAGTAGCCCCAGTTGACAGTACCATCCAACAGGTAAAAAATTGATGATTTGTAGTGTTTTTTGTTAATAAATGAAACATTTTATAAATGAATTTGGGCTCATTTTGAAGGTCTTTGTGAAGGCTACCCTATGGCTTCTCTGAAAAAATTTTATATGCTATTTGTAAGGTGCCAGACACAAATAAAAACAGTCTGATTGTACAGCAAGTGTCAACTGAACATGTGATAAATGATAATGCAGTCTGACTGCTCTAATGTGACCGCAACTATGCAATTGTAAACTTGTTGTTTACATTTGCCTAGGATATTTTGGCGGGAACTCATCGCAACTGACATCTGGAAAAGCTTCACTGTATCCTGATCCATCCAAAGTACTGGAAAACTTACTTCTTTCTAAATAGTTGGCTGAAGACTGACAAATATATTAAAAGCAAGAATTTCAATCTAAATGTGTTGGCAAGATCTTCTGAAGGCATAAATTGTGCTACTGAAGCATTGCCAAAGATCTTGCAAAGTTGCAATATTCATCCACTCTCTGCACAGTGGCTGGAAATGGGGTAATTCAAAACACTTGAAATAAAACTTAATTTAAAATGTTTGAAGCATGCAAAGTGTACTGGTTCATTAGTAACAGTAATCCAACGCCCTCCTCTTCCTTTGTAGACAATGTAGGCCTTGTTGTAGAATAAATGACATTTTCTGCAATTTTTACGTGTTTTTCCTTTATTGATATGAAATTACTATATCAATACATTACTGTATTATTGATGTGATATTACCATATCACTGTCCATATGTCCATATCCATCAACATACCATCTG